ATCTGGCCTTTTTTGAAATACTTCCGTGATGGGGAGCTCACTCCAGGCAGCTCCTTCCATGTGGACACAGCTCCTAATTGAATGGAAGTAGTGGTCAGTGGCAGGAAGAAGGGACCAGAAGGACTAGGAGCTGGCACCTAAGGGGACAGGAGTTAGCGAGTAGTAGAGGAGACTCTGGGGTTATGAGACCCTGGCAGTCATCTAGGCAGGAGGCCCTTGGCACTGACCCTACCCTGCCACCCTCTCCCCAGACGGAATCACCAGCGCACAGTGGAGTCACTGCAGGCTTCACTGGATGCCGAAGGCCGGGCGCGGAATGAGGCGCTGAGGCTTAAAAAGAAGATGGAGGGGGACTTGAATGAGCTCGAGCTGCAGCTGGGTCATGCCACCCGCCAGGCCAGTGAGGCCCACGCAGCTACTCGTCTGCTGCAAGGCCAGCTCAAGGTGAGACTGTGGCTGAGGTAGGAGGGGAAGCAATGGGGAGACATCCGAAAGCTAAGGGCACACCAGGGACCTGAAGTGTGGCAGGGGGATTGGGGGCAGGACAGAGGCTTTGGGGCAAAGCTAGAGAGCCACAGGGGAATTCAGGGAGCAGTGGGGTATACAAGGAGCTGTGGGCAGCTCTAGAGAGGCAAACCCAAGCATTCGGAAGCATGGGTTTAGACTGGGGCTGGATGAGGCGGTCTCTGCCTCACCACTCTTCCCTTCCCCTCCTCTCCAGGATGCCCAGGTGGCCCAGGATGAGGCACAGCGTGTGGCTGGGGAGCTGCGGGAACAGGCCCAGGCCTTGGAACGAAGGAATGGGCTGCTGCTGGCAGAGCTGGAGGAGCTCCGGGCAGTACTGGAGCAAGGGGAGAGGGCCCGGAGACTTGCTGAGCAAGAGCTGCTTGAGGCCACTGAGAGGATCAACTTGCTGCACTCACAGGTGAGGCAGGACAGCAACCAAGCCTCACACAGGCCTGTGTACACAGTAGGTGCTCAACAAATATTTGCACAAATAATTACTACTATAATTTCTATACTTATCAATATACTATCATTTCTATGTTTACTAATGTATTGTAATTTATATATTTGTATGTATGTTTAAAATAAATATGCTGAATTAACATGAGATACAGGACATAGCAGGCTTTGGTCCCAAAATGGGACATGCCAGACACTGGGCACAGGAACACAGAACCTGGAAACACAAGTGCCCCTGAGATCTTCAAGACCCCCTCCTTCCGAGGCCCCATGAGTCCTTTCTGCTGAGGGCCTGCCTGGGGCACTTAGCAAGGGTTCTTCTCCTATGAACTTTCTGTTTTTTCAAAATATTTTGATAACTTGTACTTCAATGTAACTGGTTTCCTTTGTAATCCTATGTATTTTATTTTATGCATTTATAAACATCACTCTAAGAAGAGATCCATAAGCTTCACCAGCCTGTCAAAGGGCTCCATGACACAAAAGATTAAGAACCCCTGCCTTAGGGGGGACCCAACCTAGATCTGACTCTCTCTCTCTCTCTCCCCCCCCCACCTCGACTCTCATGCTCCCAGAACACAGGCCTTGTCAGCCAGAAGAAGAAATTAGAGGCTGATGTGTCACAACTGAGTGGTGAAGTGGAAGAGGCTATGCAGGAAAGCCGTGAGGCTGAGGAGAAGGCAAAGAAAGCCATCACTGATGTGAGGGTCCAGAGGCTGGGCTGGGCAGGGGTGGGACCAGTCCTGGGGAGGAGAACTAGCCTGGTCCATCTCAAAGCTGGAAGAATTGGGCTGGGACTAGAACAGGAGAGCTTCAGGACAGAAGGAAGGACTTCCCAGCAGGATGATGACAGCATCATAACCTCTGAGGTAGAAAGGATCCCCACATTTAACTCATGAGGAAAATGAGGTCTGGAGAGGCTGAAGTGATGCCCAAGGTCACATTGCTACTAAGTGATGAAGCCAGAATCTGAACCCAGGTCTTCTGAGTTCAAATCAGAATCAGTCTCTAGAGTTACAGGGTAGGTTAGAGAGCTAGCTCATCACCCCCCCCCCCTTTTTTTTTTGGTGAGGGCAATTGGGGTTAAGTGACTTGCCCAGAGTCACACAGCTAGTGACTGTTACATGTCTGAGACCAGATTTGAACTCAGGTCCTCCTGACTCCAGGGCCGGTGCTCTCTCCACTGCCACCTAGCTGCCCTCTCAATCCCCTCTTTCAGCAGAGGAAGAAACTGAGGCCTTGAAAAGTTAAGTCACTCAAGGTCAAGGTCATAGTGACAGAACCAGAATTGAAACCCAGACTTTCTGATTAAATCCAATTATCTTGATACCATGTTGCCTCTATCCAAGAGGGAGGTGGGGAGGTCTCAGTAAGGGGGATAGAATGACCCTCAGAAGGGGGCAGGGACAGTCAGTCAATAAACATTTATTAAGTGCCTGCCACATACCAGGCACTGTGCTGATCTCTGGAGATACAAAGGCAAAAGGCAGTCCCTGCCCTCAAGGAGCTCACAGTCTAATGGGGGAGACACATGCAAACCGCCTACGTACAAACAAGCTATGTACAGTTTAAATTGGGAGAAAAGCAACAGAGGGAAAGGATTAGCGTAAGGAGGGGATGGGGAAAGGCTTCCTGAGGAAGGTGGGATTTTGGCTGGGAAGAAGGCCAGGAGGCAGAGACGAAGAATATTCCAGGTATAGGGGACAGCCCATGAGAAGGCCAGCCTGTAGATGGAGTGTTTCATGCCCATGTCACTGGATTGCAGAGTATGTGAGGGTGAGGAAGACTAGGACTGTGACTTGTCTGCGCCCTCTGCCCCCTCCAGGCAGCTATGATGGCCGAGGAGCTGAAGAAGGAACAGGACACCAGTGCCCACTTGGAGCGCATGAAGAAGACACTGGAGCAGACAGTGAGGGAGCTGCAGGTTCGGCTGGATGAGGCCGAGCAGGTGGCCCTCAGGGGTGGCAAGAAGCAGGTGCAGAAGTTGGAAGCAAAGGTCAGTCCCTCCCTGACGCGTCTCCATCCTGCAGAACTTCTGAGACATCGCCTCTGCTCCCTGCCCCCTGCCTCCCAGTGCTTTCAGTCTTGATCTGATTCAGCCAGTCATCTCCCTAGATTCTCCTGGCCTTGCTAGGAGGCTCCTGTCTATCTCCTCGGCACTTTCCAGTGCACAGAATCAAAACTCAGCACACCTTGTGGCAGGAATCTCCTGTCCCCTCCCCGCCTCGCCCAGGATCGCTGCTAGGCACTGGAGGGCTCACTAAACTGACATTACCCATGCTATCAACCGCTGGAAGCAGGAAAGGGTGTTTCATCAGCCAGCATCGAGGGGCTTGGGCTAAGCACCCCCAGGGATGAGCAGGTTCTCCCCTCTCCTAGGTGATCCCTTAAGCATCCCACTGCTCCCTGGGGAAACAAAGACATATGGCCCCCTAGATTCTAAAATGCTTCCAAACTCCTCAGGCATTTCCAGACCTCTTCTGGGCATTTCTGACCACTCCCCTATCCCTCTGTATTTTTCCTTGGCCTCAGACCCTAGATCGAGTCTTCACCACCCACCGTCTTGGATTCCTTTTTGGGCTCCTACCCATTAGCCTCCTTGTCCTTTTTTTTTTCATCCCTTCTCTCCTCAGCAATGGTTATTCTCCCCTGGTTCTAGGGAGATCAGAGACCTAGAACTGGGTCCCCTTAGGTCAGTCAGCATTCTTCCCCCTGCACCAATATCCCCAGCTCTCCCATGGCTCTAGCCTCATCTACCCACTGTTCGGCAGGTACGGGAACTGGAGCTGGAGCTGGATGGAGAACAGAAGAAGAATGTGGAGGCCCAGAAAGGCATTCGAAAACACGAGCGCCGAGTGAAGGAGCTCACTTATCAGGTCGGTGGGACTAGGGCTAGGGATTTCAGAGCTGGATGGTGTCTCTTGGGCTGCTAGAAGAGTTCACAGCCCTGACTGATCCCCGTTGTCCCTCCTCCTCAGGCTGAGGAAGACAGGAAGAACTTAGCCCGGATGCAGGATCTCATTGAGAAGCTACAGAGTAAAGTCAAGAGCTATAAGCGCCAGTTTGAGGAGGCGGTGAGTGTGTGTGCAAATGCATATGTGGCTGGGTGCCAGGCATTAATTTTCCCCTTTTACAGGAGTGGAAACTGAGGCCAAGAGAAGTGTGGTTTGGCTTAAACACCCACGTACAACTATTTGTGCGTAATCCTACATGGTAGGCACTTAATATAATGCTTGTTAAAGGACTGATCCTACATGTGACTGCTCCTTCCCAGGAGCAACAGGCCAACTCCAACCTGGTGAAGTATCGGAAGGCTCAGCACGAGCTTGACGATGCAGAGGAACGAGCAGACATTGCAGAAACCCAGGTTAACAAGCTTCGGGCTCGCACTCGGGATGCCCTGACCCCTAAGGTAAGGGGCCAGGGAGAGAAGGGTGATAACTTACTCCCCAAAGTGAGAGGTGGAGAATAGAAAGAAGTTCCCCAAGGGGAGGGTCTGGGGGGAAGCAAATTCAGAATTCCTTCTTCTTTGCAGGGCTGTCTGTGGGTAGGAGGGAGGGAAGAAGTAGTCATGGGTGTCGAGTTGAGATGTCTCTACCATTCCTCAGCATAAAGAATGAAGGCACAGAAGCCCCAAAGCCCTCAGGGGCCTGAGACCTGAAGAGGAATGGTTGCTACAACAGCATCATGGACCCCTGTCTCACTGCTTCCTTATCCTATTCATAGTATCTCCAATCCCTTCTAATTTACCAAATAAATACAACTTCCTTAAACCCGGCCTGTTTCATGTGCCTTTTGCTGAGGGAAGGGGGAGGGGAAGGGAGAGGAGGAGGGGAAGGGGGAGGGGGAGGGGGAGGGGGAGGGGGAGAAACCTTTACGGAGCTAAGAGTAATGAAGAACCTGTGAGTTAGACTCAGGCCCCTGGGCAAAAACCACACAAAGGGAGGGAAACTGGGTCTAGAGCACATCTCTAGTCCATCTAGTCTCCCAGACTCTAGCACTGCTCACCCAAACAAAGGTCAGTTCCACACCCCTCACTTAAAATACTTTAATACTCTCCATCTAATAATCAGTTTATTTGCTGTTAATAAATTGGCAATACTGTGGTTCGGTCCTCATCCTGGGGGAGGGGAAGAGCTTTCCCAGGGAGAGCTGATCTGTTTGTGGGGAGGCTGGGGAGAAGTCCCTCAGGGGAAGGACTGAGCCCTGGGGACAGTCAAGGGACACAACTCCATGACATTTGGATTTAAAGAGGACAAACTTCTGTCCTTCCCAGAGCTGCTGGCAGAACTCCTGGGAGCACGGGCTGCTGGACCAAGGCGTTGGGACCAGGCCCTCCCTGGGCAAGTTCCCCTGCTCTGCTGGGGGCAGCCCCCTTGAGTCCAGCATGGGAAGGAAAAGTGACTCAGGCTGTCCGGGGTTTAAGGAGGGAGACATAGGGCAGGTCAGAAGGACAACACATCTTTTCATGAGCAGCCTATGCGTTAAAAGGTGTCAAAACAAAAAAGAAGATGGGGACAGGGATCAAATAAACAAGAAACTGATGGAGATGGACCGGCCCTCATCCCAGGAGCTCGACCTGGGAAGGAAACCCGAGAACTCAGAGTAGGCCTGCTGTTCAAGGGGCTGGACTGGTCCTGGGCTAACCAAGGTGAGAGTCCCACAGGATGGGCTCCAGAGGGGTTAAGGACTCCCTGGACCCCTTTCTCTGTACTCTTCATTAGCACTGGGCCACCTTACCAGAGAATGAGGGACAACACACTTCTAGTCTGAATTCTGGGGAGCTTCCTACTACTTCTGGCCTCTCCCTGGCTCCAGAGAAGGCTAAGCGTCCCAACTGTGGGGTGACCGGTATATCCTCTCCCCCTCTCTCCAGCCCCACTCCCCTTGTATAGAGGACTGTAATGCCAGGGTGGGAGGAGGTACCACAGAAGAGTGCTGAGGAAACATCTGAGATGAAGATTTTAAGTTCCACTCAGCCACAGATGGGGGCAGTGAACAACATCTAAGCAATGGTCTGAGGCTCCTGCCCAGCGCTTTAAGGAAAAGGATTCTCTCGGGGGGAGAAAAACGATGAGAGGCTTGGAGGGAACACCAGATAAAAAGACAGAGACCCTCAAATTCAGTACCAGGTCTCAGAAGCAAGGGGAAGAGAGGAAATGATGAGTCCGCCTACAGCCCCTCCTCAGGGAACATCTGAGTTCATGTATCAGTGACTCAGGCCAGGAGCCTGCAGCACAGGCCTACCCTTAGAAATGGCACCCAAACAGAGGGCCTGGTGATACTGGTCAGGAAAAGCTTCAATTGTGAGGGATTAGGGACAGAGAGGCAGGAAAGAAGGAAAGAGCTCTCGGTGAGCCCTGCCTCCCCCAGGGAGAGAAAACAGCACTGTCTCTTCTGGAGAAAGGTATTTTCTCCTTCAAACCAGAAGTCCCTGAAATGTCCCATCCCAGGAGCAATGGGAGCAGGAGGTGGAGGGGGGGGAGTAGCAACAGGGGGCAGGAGTGAAAGAGGGGGCCCACACGGTCCATGGATCCAAATGGAGAAGTGCACACACACCACACTGTAATCCCTGAATCACCACTGTCTGCAAGATGTCCTCAGAGGCCTGCCCCTGGCAGGTCACTCCTCTGTGAAGTTTCTATCTATGTCCATATAGGGCTCCTCGATATAGCTGACCAGGGCACAGGGTGATGTCCGGTCGGGACTTAGCAGGATGGACACAGTCTCTTTCCAGTAGGTAAAACTAATACAGGAGCTCTATGGAGAAGAGAAGGGAGAAAGGGTTGCAGAGACAGCACCACCACATATTCCATTTCACTGTTACCCCCAACCAAAGCTAGAAAAGGGCCAGCTGGTGCCATTGCTCATAGCTCCTCCCACCAGACCGGCTTCATCCTCCAGTTAGGACTGAGGCTTTGCTGAAGGGGCGAGGAAGATGAACCTTCTGTGTCTAGGCTACTTGGTACACAGAAATTGGACATCTTAGTCCACACCATCCTCAGGAAGAGATGAAGAGCCTCCATGAGGCTCTAAGATTGTGGGAGAATTTCAGAATGAGGGCAACCAACTAGACTTCTCCAATATTTAGCACAGGTAGGGGGGAGAGAGTAGGGAACAATGACACACAAAAAAGTTACGAACTCCTCTAGTGGCTTTGGTTTCCTTGATATGAAGGGGCCTATAGTGGAGGCCTGGCTTAGGTTTCCCCCTCCTTGTTTTATACAATCTGTTTCTAGGCAGTATGGCATTGCCTGCCCATTTTATAACATTCAAAATAATGAGGCTAGAATTGACCCTTCTCAAAGAACTAGGCAGGAGGAATGGACACTCAAGGCTGGATTCCTTCTCATCCCCTCCCTGTTACCCCCCAGCAGCACTGGGCCCAAGGGGTAAGCTCCATTCACAGCCTCCTCCCTCCTATCCCCAAATGTGGGAATATCTGCCCACCCCCCTGGGCTCCCACACATTCCTACATTCTCTAAGCAGGTGCTGTCCTTATCCTTATGGAGGTAATGCTGCTGCCAGAAGCGCAGGAGGCTGTGGAAGTTGTTGAGGATGAAGCCAGGGTATTTCTCATCATATTCCATCTTCTGGAGGGCATTCAGGTACCCAGGCAGTTTGTCTTTCCTCCGAGCAAGCATCAGGATCACGAGACTGGTGTTCAGGCAGCTGACGTTCTCCTGAAATGCCCCAGCCCCACCCCACCCCAAGCCAGTGAGCTCAGAGCCAGGACAGCTGATCTGGAGCCCAGACAGGGTGAAGGGACCACTGCCAGGTGGAAAGGTGGAATGGACTCAATTTTATGGGGCCAACACACTGAGAATACGCAGGAAAGGAGCCCTAGGGTCTTTAGCTCTGACCTGAGGTGGGGAGATGGAAGGGGTCACCCAAGTCAGAGGCCTAGTTAGGGGCCTCCCATTTCTTCCCATAAAATTGGGCTCTAGACAGGAGGTTTGGAAGTCTAGGGTTCTAGGAGGTGAAGCTATTCAGTCTTGTGAAGAGAAGACTCAGGAACACAGCCACTTGTATATCTGGAGGGCTGATATAGGAAACATAACTAAGAGCAAGGGGTGGAACTTGTGAAAGCAAATTTCAGCTGAACACGAAGGAAAAAAGCTCCTAACAATCCAAGCTGCCCAAAGTGGGCTCTTAATCACTGGAGATCATCAAGTAATGACTGGACGCTCTAAGGTGATCCCTGTTTAGTTAAAGGCTAGACTAGATGACCCATTAGTTCCCCTCTGACTCTGTGATCTTAAAGCAGAATAGATGACCACAAAACAATGTTTCCTGCCTTAACTGGCCAGCAGTAATCACAGTCAATCTAGGTCCTGGCAGAAAGGCCTTGTGGATTAGAAATAAAAGGACCTGGATTCCAGTCCTTGGCAGTCCAGTTCTGTCACTTGACAGCTGTGAGCTCAAGGAATATACTATGGATCTCAGTAATGTCATCTCTAAACTGGGGAGACTAATCTCTACCTATCTATGGCAAAGGGTATTTTTACTAACGGGCTATTAGATCCAATGAAGGGAGAAGGGTCGGGTTTGTAAATGCTTCATAAATCCCAAAGCTTTTGTTAGAGTGATTGTTGCTGTTGTCTCTGAATTCACTCTGAGATCTAAAAGCTAGCTCCTAGGACCAGTCCCAGATGTCCAGGGAGGGATCTCTCTCTAACTTTACTGGTCTTCCCCAATAACTCCTGATGTCAGGAAGTTTGTCACATCTCATCTAAGTATCTCACACTGCAGTTCCTGTCCATTTTTTTTTTTATTTTGTTCAGCAGAGATGGAGAATATTTGGGCACCATCCTCTGAACACATCCTTCATAAGTTTAAAAGGCCACTAAGACTTTCAGTTTCCCAGTTTCTTCTAAACTGTTCTATTTTACAACCTTTTGTTTCATCCTCACTCCATACTCCTTGCCTCTCTTCTGAGGCACCTGTCTCAGTATACCACTATATTTCACTGCATAATCATTACCATCACGTAATCGTAGCACCCTGTTTTTGTTTGTTTGTTTAGTTTAAAAATTGGTTTTTAACCTTTTATCATGTAACCATCACATGACATAATTCTGTTCATCACACCACTTAAAAGGTAAACAAAGCAGCAATGTATTTATCAGCAGCATTGCAAGCTGTGAGCCTAGAATTCTCAGCACACGTGCAAACACACGCATTGTCAGTATTCAGTTTTAATGGATATTCGTGAATATTCCATGCATCCTAATCTTGCACCAAAGACAGTTTAGTAATAAATGATTTTTAAGTAATACCGACACCATTTTTTTAAAGTTTCACATAATGGTCACATCCCACTTTTTTGCAAAAAAACTATCATAAAATCTGTGATGATAATGTGGTAAAACACAGTAGCCTGCTGAGAGTTAAGAGGGCTTCAATGGTATTTTTTTCCTATAAAAGTTAAGGGACCTTCCTTTCTGATCAACCCTAGTAGTATTATGCACCTATGTAGGCAAGTTTACAAGGTTTCTCCTCTTGGACCAATAACTGAGGGGTCCTCATTACATCAAAGAAATAAGATTTCCAGTAGACAGAATGTGCTACTGTTGGAAAAAAGAACAGGATTCCCCAAGGAACCCAGAAGGCTATGCACACAGAACAAAAGGAGCATGGCCAAATATACAGGAATCTGAGTTACAGAAGTTGTCATCATGACTTAATACTTGTGCTGGCTATATACTCTTAAGTATCCCATTTTAACATCTTACCTGTGTTAAAGTCTGTACATGAATAATGTTAATGAGACGGAAAAGGAAAGTAGTTCTGTTGGACATCTGGTACATGTAGGATAGCAGGCGGCACTCTGACAAAACGTGTACAACTGTGGGGCAAACAAAAAAGGTCAGTTTGGTTTGCAATGGAAATTAAAAACATGCTGAAGAGGGCAGATTTGGCTAAGAGCCCTCATCTGCCAGTGGGCCCTGGCTCAGGTCAAACAAAACAACTTACTAAGTTTCAACCTTCGTTCCCTGAGAGTCCAATTTGTCTTCTTACGGTAATGATCACAGGACACCGCACAGAGTAGGTATTCAAAAAGTGGCTGGCACCTAGATGAACTGTAACTTCTTTGCTCTTACCTCTATGACATTCCTCTGGAGTATCCTCCCCTTCTAAAAATCCACATCCCTCTTCCTGTAAACTAGTGCCTTGGAGTTCATCTCTCTCTAGTCATGACTATTCTATGTGGAAAGGCCTCCTCTTTCAAATATTCCCGGTAGTGGAGAAACAATATTGCAAATAGGAACTGAAGGGAGTAATTAGGATATCCTTTGTCCTACTTCAATTCTGGTGACAGCGATTGCATGATGTAAGCTAAGAGTCCTTTGGGCTCATATGTGAACTGCTACAGAGTAGGCACTAATTCATTTATGTGACCCTGGGCAAGTTCACTCCAACCTCAGTATCTTATGTACTTATAAAGACAGGTATACAAGACTGACTTCAGTTTCCTCCTCTGTGAAAGGAGTGAGGTGATTTCATTGCCTACAAGGACTACAACTAGGGGTGTGGAATGCTGCATATATTGTCACATACAGTTGCTGTGTTGGTTAGTTTTGGTTTTGCTGAAATGCCTTTTTTTTTTCTTTCTTGCAAGAGAGAGTTTACTGAATAGGGAAGGAAAATGAAGGTGACATAAAAACAAAACATATTAATAAAAATATTTTAAACAATAAAGATAAAACAAAAGAGAAGGGTGAACGAGATGGTTTCCAAGGTTTCCTCTAGCTCTGACATGGTCGGTGAGCAGCAAATCTCTAAAGAAGGAGCTAGGCAGCCACTGGCAGCTTATACAGGAATCTCTGCCCATTTTTTAGAGCTAATTTCTTGGAAAACAAGCAGAACAGATGCAAGATATTTCCACATGAGGATGATATGTGGAAAATGGGAGAATTAAATACATTAGCAACAGCAGAAATTAAATGAGTCCAGACCAAAAATATACATAGGAAATTACAAATGGTGATAACGTAAATGAATGAATTTTTTGAGTTTATTAAGAATCACAGAATATTTGAACTGGGATGGACCTTGGGTATCATTTAGTCAAACTGTCACATTTAACAGAGGTGCCTGAGACTCAGAGAGGGAGACCTGCCCAAAGTCACATGCTAAGTCAATGACAGAGCCAGCCCTAGAATTCAGGTCTCTGGCCTCCCAGGACAAGGCTCCTTCCAAGACTAGAACTCAGTGATGGACGGACCTCAAGCACTAATTTTTTTCCATTAAAACTTATGACTCACTGGTTATCAGTCCATGTCTTAACACTTACGCTATCTACACTCTTGTGAATACAGCACATTATTTAATATCATGGCTGGCCTTGCTAGCCAAACCCACATTGTCTTCTGAAAGGGAGGACAACTCTGTATAACTGTAAGTTCCTCAAGGGTAAGAATTACATTTTATATCTTATATTCTTTAAAAATGCTTAGCGTATCCTGTATAGGATTCTACAGTGACTGGTCAATAAATTCTGACCAACGCAGGAGGAATATTTGCCAGCCGAGCATAGAGAGATCATCAAATCTAGTTATCAGGGGGCAGCTAGTTGGCACAGTGGATAGAATTACAGCCTTGGAGTCAGGAGGACCTGAATTCAAATCCGGCCTCAGACACTTGACACTTGTGACCCTGAGCAAGTCACTTAAACCCAACTGCCTCACCAAGAACAACAACAACAACAACAACAAAAAATCTAGCTATCTTAAGTTTTCAGTTACTCCTATTCTGCTCATGTAAGTAGTATGTGACAATATAGATAAGATCAGATGTTGGCTACTGCCTCAAAGAAAAAAAAATCAGAAAATTCAAGGCTTAGGGTTCTGTCCACTGATGTATTATAAAGGCTAAACAAATGTTAGGTGGAGACTTGGTATATTTATGATAGTTGCCATTCCAGAAAAGTATGAGTCTGAATCCATTCTATGACATATAAAACTTTAAGGAATGCAATATTTTCATTAACTCATTGACTAAAATTACCTTAAGTACAGCAGAAATGTGTGATCCAGCTACGCCCCAATGATCAGTCCTGATATAGTAGTCTAATTTATTGATCTATCATTTTTTTTTCTTTCCCTGTACTAAACAGTTATAGTTAATGGATGACCTGGGACAAGTCCCTTCCCTTCTCTGGGCCTCAGTTTTCTCACCTGTCAAATAAGGAGGGTGGACTAGATAATGCATAAGTACCCTCCTGGTTCTAATATTTCCCAGTTCTATTACAAGACATTAGTTGATACTGGGCTACTCAAGTTAAACAAACAAATATCAATGGTGGTTTGCATCACACAGTAGGGATGAGAGAAAAAAATACCACAATTTCAACAGTGCCAGGAGAACTAACACTATATTCTCTACCACAGGCCAATCACTAAAAGGCTTAGAAAAGTAGATGAGTAATTTTTTTTTAATTTGACTACCCCCTTGTGTTAAGTTGCAGTAATGCAAACAGTTTTGAATTGCATAGAAGGCAAAAATTAGAAGGAAAATTCAACCACTCTCCATCTACTGCTGTCAATAAGGAGGAAGGATAAAAACAGCTTCACCTTCACTGTTTTCTAACGAATGCACTTTGCTCCCTGAGGGGCCACCTTTTTCCTTTACCTTTCATGTCCGACTGGTTTTCAAATCGGTCAAGAGAGAGTGTGATACAGCGCACCAGCATGTTGGAGTCCACCAATGAACTATTGATCTGGCTCAGGAAAACCTGAAACTAGAGCAGAGATCTCACTGAAACACACTGCGGGTAGTGGAAAGCATTCTGCGTGACTACACCTGGGAGGCTTAACAAATATAGGGCTGTGGGCTCCTGTCACCCTTATTGTCTATTCAGCTACTGAGACCCTAATATGTGGTTTCTTTTAATTGCTTTAATTACCAGTGGCTATTTCTGAATAGTCAACAGGAGATCTCATGTGGAAATCCCTAACTGGTCAATCCCAAATTGTGGGCAAATTGACAAGGGGATGCACCTGTTGGGTCCATAGGCCAACCATCTATGGGACCTAAACTTTAGATCCCCTAACCCTCAAACCACTTGTGTGAAGTTTCTGATCTACTTTTACAAGTACTCCAATGCCTTCAGTCAGAGATTCTTTATGGTGGGCTTTGGAGCCCACCTTTCTAAAGGAGTCTGACTCTTAAGGGCCACTGTTTTAAATGGGTCTTGTTTGTAATACATCCCCCTATACTTAATAAAATATTTCTAAGAGATAACATCTGACACTCTACCTAACCAATAATACCTCCCACTACCCCACATTGCTCCAAACAGGCTGGTCCAGATGCAGTCTCCATCATATGCTACCTTTGCAAACACTTTTTCTTCCATATGAGACCCTTTTTCTATTTGAATTCTACCCATTCTTCAAAGTCTAGATCATATGTTACCTCCAGCATGTGGCTTTCCCTAAAGGCCCCAGCCCACATCCATCTTTCCCATTTCTTTCAACACTTAATAGCACTTATCATGTGAACCTCACAATCAAATGTAATTCTATACTCTCTCAATGATTTTTTTTGGTTTATTTCACATGTTTTGTCTACCAAACAAGATCATGAGCTCCTCGGGGGCAGGGACCATGTCTTCTATTTCTTTTGTCTCCTTTACAACTCCTCATTAGGGCTGAGCACATAGTAGGTATTCAATAAATACTTGTTAACTTACTAATTTTTCGTTGTTCTCTACTTTGGGACCTGAAGGTCACCTGTCCTGCAGACCACAAATAGAGCTGAGTACATGCCAAGAATTCTCAGATTTCAAAAAAGATATGTTCATGCTAACACAAATTTCTGAAGACAGACATAGCAACCACAAAAGTTTCTTGTATTTTACCTTCTCATCTGTGTTGATATATTTATTGAATCTTTTAAAAGCATCGATGTTGAATTTCATCAGTTCACCCAGGAGATCAAAGTAACTCTGAAGCACATCCCTGGATTTACACTCACTGTCCACGATGCAATATAGAATATGCTATTGTGGAAACAAAACAAAACAAAACAGGATTCCTGAGCAGCCCCAAAAGCTGTTCTCCTGGAGCAGAGACAAACTAACTAAACACTTGGAAATCCATGTTGCTATGAATGGTGAAGCACAGAGGTGGGACTTCTTCATGAAATAAAGATTTCAATCTAGTACTTCATAGAATCCTAGAGGTGATGAAAAGTTTAGAGGTCATCGAGTTCAAGTCACAGCCCAATGGATAAATCTCTAAAACATCACTGACAAGTAGTCATTTGGCATCTGTGTACTTCTGGTGACAAAGAGCTCTCTACCTCACAAAGGCGCCTGTTCCACTGCTGAACAGCTTTCATTGTCAGAAAACTCTTCCTTATATGAAGCAGAAGTCCAAATACTGAGTTGAACTTAGATCTGTAGAAATCTCCCCTCTGCCTGGATCCAAATCTTCAGTAGAAGCCACTTACTCCAAATGACCAAACCCCAGGACCTGACCTGTCTCTGAGCTGGGGCAGCATAAGTGATTGAGGTGGCGGAGCTGTCCCCTTAGTTACGCTCCAGGTGCTGTGACGATGACTGCTAAATTGCTCTGAGGTAACAAGGATACTCAGGGCTCTCTGCTGTAAATGGAGGAGCAGAATTGTCTTTAGAAATAAGATTTTTACATTTCTTTAGTACTGAAGCTGTTCAAGTTTTACTCTTAAAAACAGCTCCCCAAGATCATTGCCCAAATATCATAGATCTCTTTTGTAAGTGTACTTAAACTTGTTTTTCCCATATATAACTGGAAAAGGAAATGCACCCATCATTTGGTGAAACAGGAATAAAAGATAGCCAGAATGCTACTGGTACCTTCCTGGTACCAGGAAGGATTAAAAGAAGCAGCTGAATGTGCACAGGGTGTTGGATTCACACAAAGACATGGGCAAGAATCACACAAGACGAAAGGGTAAGGATGGGCCGTAAAGGAAAGAGAGCACCCATACTCAGGGGCATCACTAGTCCACTGAAGTATCAACCTGAATTAAAGGTGACACCTATTACAGTGTGGTAGAAAAAGTGACAAGCTGAGAGGCGGCAGACCCAAGTTCTAGTATAGGCAAATCACTTCTCTCTGAGCCTTGATTTCCTTTTCTGCAAAAAGGAGTTGAATTAAATGATCTTGAAGATTTTATGCTGCTATAATCTAAAAGTCAGGGGCTGAAGGCCACTCAGTAAATAGCAGACCATTTGGGAAGGCCTTGGAAGTATAGTTTTATACCCTCTTTCAGTTGTTATAGGGAAATAACATTATAAGAAATTCAATTAGCTCAGTAAAAATTTTCAAAACACACACACACACACACAACCCCCCCCCAAAAAAAACCAAAGAAACAAACAACAACCAAAAAACCCCACTCTGCTCTAAGAAAATTTTTTTTTTAATCCCTCATCCTTTGTGTACTTACCTCTAAAAGGCCCCTCTTCAGCAGGAACATCTGATCAGCATAGGAAGTGGCTCCTCGGAGGAAACTTTCAACAGCCCTTGCTTGCCAAAACCTGTGACCCAAACACAATCTGCTGTTCTCCCTCAATGAAGCTGCTGGCTTGTAGACAGCGGCCCCATTTTTCTAAACTCCAGAACCTAGCAATACATTTTTTCCTGCTATTCTGCAAGTACGCTCCTTAACTGTTTCAAACTTGGATGTCTTAAAAAGGGAGCTCAGTGTCGCAGGAAGAACACTGAATCTGGAGTAAGACGACCTGAGGCTTGAGGCTAAACTCTGCCTCTTACTAAAAGAGTGCCCTTCGGTAAGTCACTTCCTTTCCCTAAACCTCAGTCTACTTATTTGTTAAATGGGAATAATGATACTTGTACTACTTTCCTCATATGGACTTAAAGGCTCAAATTAAATAATGTGTTAACTATAATAATAACTAGTAGTAGTAGTAATAGGAGGAGGAGGAGGAGTAGTAGTAGGTTCATCCCAACTAACTGCTAGTGGGTTCCTCATGGACAGGGAACTCATTGGCTACTTCCGTGTTGTTCTTTATAGTCATAATTCCTAATATGCTATACTAATATATCAGGGATTTATTAATTCATGTGTGTGACTCAACTCAACACACAAGAGTGAAAAGCGAGAAGGTCACTATGTGAAGATAACCAAACCCCTGGAGTAACTCTGGGACGACTTCCTAACATCTCTGTAAACTAACAGACTAACATGACACGGCTGTGAGGTATCAATCACTCCTATAGGGCCACAGGCCCACACCTACCTGAAGGAGGACTCAGTTGGCTCTTTCTTCATGACCTGCAGCAACCGAGTTAACAAACCTCTTTTTCCATCACAGACCAAACTCCTAAAATCAAAAGACAAAAGTAAAAGTTGACACAGAACTGAGAGTCTGGAGAATAAAGAGGCCAAGACACGACTTGGCCAACAAAGAAAATTTGTACTGTCTAAAAGATTTACAGGGTTTTCAGTTTTAGCCCCAGAGTCGAGGACAGGCTTCCTGTGTTGGCAGTGACTGGTGAAGAGAGCGAGGGGAGTCTTTCCAGACCAGCTGGAAGCCACACAGCACAGCTGGCAGCTTCCCTTCCCCTCCAGGACCCGTCTCTCCGCAGGGGACTGTAGGGAACTCAGAATTTTAACAGCCAAGCACTTCCTTCACACATTTTGGACAAGTTTTACCTTTCAACTTATCTCCCCATCAATTCTTGGGCAGCTTTTCCTTCCCCAAACTACTGGCCAGTGTTCAGATGCTGGACATGTGCCTGAGGTTGCACTAGACCCAGGTATAGGAAGAATGGGTCTGGAACAAGGTGGAATGGAAGGCAGCCAAACTGGGCATACTCAGGAAGTCAACTTCTTCCTGTCTTTCAGTCTTTACTTCGAAACTGTTTGTGTCAATGCCATCATGTCAAGTGGAGAATATGACCTTTTTTCCTTACAAAGCTGCAACAGGGTGAATCAAGGTGAGATTGCAGCGAGTTCTGCTGAGGTTTTCCACTAGAAACGACTTACCTGTCTGTGTTGACAACTGCATCTACCTCAGGGATATTGGCCTTGAGGGAGATTGCACTGAGTTCATTCAGTTCTTGGCTATTTAACAGCAGATACTTGTTCCTGAAACAGATAGGATTTGAGGCAGGTAAGGGGGAAGAACTATGGTTTCCATACTGGCCAAAGGCTTTCATTTGGACCCTGCAGTCTGTGCAGCTGCCATGTTATCGGGGCTTATGAGACATTCTGTACCATAGACTGTATCACCTACTTCCCTGACAGCTCTTGCCCTCACCAATATCTCTCCATCCTGAACATCTAACAGTATTTATGGACTGTACTAAATTTTGTACTGAATTGTATTGTCCTTTCCTTATTTCATATGTACAAGTGACATATATGAAATATATTCACTTAGACAATAAGTTCCCTGAGGGCAGAGACCAAGTTTTCTCCCCCAAGAGCCTAGCATAGGGCCAGGCACATAGTATGCTCCTGGTGGATAGAGCTCCAGAAATGATTCAACACAAGAGATACTCCTGTGACTTCAGCTAGGCCCAAACCTTTGTGGGTGTTTGGGACAGCAGATGTGTGTGTGTGTGTGTGTGTGTATGTGTCTGTGTGTGTGTGTGTCTGTGTATTATTACGAGTTGTAGAATGGTACTAAAAGCCAGGGCTGCATTCCTGCCCCCAAGGAGTAGGAACATTTCTCCCTAGGTTGATTTGACTATAGCAGATCACTTCTGGCCTCCAGAAAACAAGTGGGGCCTTTTGCCAATAGATAAATGTTTTTAAGGATATAGACAAGCAGTCTTCAAAAGAAGAAATTCAAGCTAACAAAAACCATATGAAAGAATGATCAAAATCATTAATAAAAGAGAAATGGAAATTAAAACTACGAGGTTTCAACTTACATCCATCAGATGACAGAAGACAAAAATGACAGAAATGGAACCAGGTCTGTGTGGGAACACAGTCACACTAAAGCACTGTTGGTAAAGCTTTGAACTGGCTCAATTCTTTTTTTCTTTTTTTCTTTTTTGGCGAGGCAATTGGGGTTAAGTGACTTGCCCAAAGTCACACAGCTAGTAAATGTTATGTATCTGAGGCCGGATTTGACCTCAGTTCCTCCAGACTCCAGGGCCAGTGCTCTATCCACCGCTCCACCTAGCTGCCCCAACTGGCTCAATTCTTCCAGAAAATAATTTGAAACTGTACAAGCAAAGTCACTAAATCCTTTGACCCAGTGACATCACTACTAGGCATATACCTCAAGAAGGTCAAGGAGAATGGGAAAGGTCCTATATATACAAAAATATTTATATTAGTACTTTCTATAGTGACAAAGACTTGGAAAGAAAGTGATTAGGGAGGGGCTAAAAAATTATGGCATATGAATGCAATAAAGTATTACTATAAGAATGACAAATATGATGAATTCTAAGAAACTTGGAAAGACTTGTATAAACTGATGCAGAGCAAAGTAAGCAGAACCAGGAAAATTATTTACATGATTACCACAACAAAGTAAAGGAAAGCAACACTGAAAGAATTCAGAACTATGACCAATGTGATGACTAACTGTGACTTCAAAGGACTTACGGCAAAGCATGCTTCCTGCCTCTTGGGAGACAGGTGAGCAATGACACATATATTTTCAGACACGGCCAACGTGTTAGTTTGTTTTACTTAACTGTACTTATTTGCTACTAGGAAGTTGTTTCATGTTGGGGAGTAGGTAGGGAGAGAAGGCAGAAAGTTATTAGGAATTGAGTGATGCAAAGAATATCAACAGAAAAAATTTTTTAAATCGTGCATAGGAATAACTTCCTTCCTTCTTATTGACTTGACTTCTTCCTTCTCCCACACAAAATTCTGTTCTTGTTTTTGTCTTTTTTCATGGTTACCATAAAGTTCACAGCAAGTTGTATACTATGGTCCTAACGTGATAGGTCATTTGACAGTGAGGGCAAGACTCACAATGCAGGAATTAAAAGGCCTTCCCCAGCTCCCTGAAGTGAAGCCATTCCAAATTTGCTCTATTAAGTCAGTCAGTCAACAATCATTTATTAAGCCCTCACTATGTGCTGAGCACCATGCTAAGTGCTGAGGATACAAAGAAAGACAAAAGAGAATCTTTGCTCTCAAGGAGAGGACAATGTAACATAACCATTTGACATTTAACCACCTAGTGGTTACTACAGTTTTCTGTTTCATGTGTCTCTCTAATGAAATTGCAATCTCTTTAGCACAAGGAAGATTCTTAGTAAATTCTGTTGAATTAAATTAAATAGAATATAGAAGGACCCTGCCAGGACTCAGTCTATAACATTCAGAGTATCCAACTTAATTCAGGTCTCAACACTGTTCGTCAGAACACACAGCCTGGTGTAATGTGGCTGGAGAGAGAGCCAGCTTTAGTCAGCAAGACCAGGATTCAAATACTGCCTCTGACATACTCTGGTTCAGTGACCCTGGGCAATCCTCTCAGCCTCTCAGTGAGTGTTCCTGGCAGCTTAGCAGGAACTAGAAACTTCAGAACTGCTCATTTGCATTCATAGAGGGATTTCCCTCAGCAGGAATTCTCTACATCAATAAAATCATGATATTAAAAAAGTACTTAGAAAGAGGAATGGATGTTTGGTAGAATCATATCAGTAGGGTATACTCTGACTGCCTAGCTATTCTGAACTAGGGCTAATGACTTGGAGAAAAAAATGCCTTAAAGAAACAGCCAACATAAAACTCTTTCCCAAAATGAGGATCATACTTACTCATGGTGATCACTAAAACTCTGGAGAAGTCTCAAAAACTGTATCTTTAAGGTGATGTCCTAAGAAAAAGAAAGCAAAATGTCTTCAAAACAGATTATAGAATCTACTAAAACAAGAATTAAGCATCTATGAAAGCAAATAATACAGATAGGCAAATCAATTCCATTCTTGAGGTCTGTTACATCATTTGCAAAATGAAGGAAGACATTCATTAATAAGAAAAGTGCAAGTTAGAATTTCTCTAAGGTTCCACCTCATATTCAGAATGGCAAAAATGACAAAAGACAAAAATAAAAAATGCTGAAGGAATTAAGAGAAGACAGGCAAATACAAATGACACCAGAAAATTCACTATGCTCTATATTCCTCTTTGATCCAGTGACACCAGCACTAGGAATGGCCCCTAAGAAGGCCAGAGACTTAACGGAAAGGTCCCATAAATACAAAAAATATTTACAGTAGCACCTTTTGTGGTAGCAAAAAGCCTGGAAACAAAGTGAGTGCCCATCTCTTAGAGATGGGCTGAACAAACGGATATAGGAATGCAATGGAATAGTATTGCACTGTACAAAATGACAAACCTGAAGAACTAAAGTGAACTTTGGAGGCCTTGTGTGAACTGAGGCAGAATAAAGTAAGCTGAAGCAAGAGAATGGGCACAATAATGTAAAGGAAAACAATGAGAGATAACAGAACTATGATCAATGCAGTCATCAACCCTGATTCTAGAGGACTGATGGTGAGGCATGCCTCCCATCTCTTGTCAGGGATGTGTTTAGATTACAGAAACATAAGGAAGACAGACATGGCTAATAAGTTGGCTTGTTTTGCTTAATCATACTTCTTTGTTATGAGGGAAGAGGGAATGGGGGAGGGGGGGCATCATTGGGAAACGACACTTATTATCGATAAAACAAATGAATAAAAGGAAGGTTGCGTATTTTGCTCCTATACTCAAGGTCACATGTCCTGCCTTAGTAGGCAGTTGCCTCTGCTTATGAACCAAACTCCTGAAAGAGAACAATTCACAGAAGAACTCACTGGACTACAATCACAATTCTGGTTATGTCCATGCAGAACAAGGGTAGATGTTGAATGCTTCCTCCATATCAACTTGTCAAACAGATTATTAAGTCCAGGGATCAGTTTGAATTCTGCTATCATTTTATGAACCTAGATGGGGCAAAAAGCAGAGGAATATTAACACCAAAATACCATCAACTCAGTCAATGATACATGGCATAGAAATTAAGTGATATGGGATGTCTTCAGAGATTAAAAACAGTAGATCTAGGGGACAGGGTCACAAAATGGGGGCCTAAATTTGCAAAATTCCGGGCTACCAAACAAGATACTGGAAGTCTTCTCGGGCCACTGTTCTCAGAAATCTTCTTACTATAAACTCTGAGGAATCATAACCTCTTGTGAACCACCCAAAGGCTAAAGAGCTGTTCCCTGGGTGGCAGCCACGTTTATAGCAGACCAACCAAATTCATGCCAGATATACTAACACACACGAATAGTTTATAACCTTAATACAAAGCCTGTGGTTAACCTGGGGAATAGGCAGTAGAGAAAAGAAGGTCCTTCTGACTTCCTTCACCAAAGATGTCTCCTACTGCACCACAGGTGCTTCAGGGGGAGGGGTAAAGTCAAAAAGGACTCCTACAGGAGCCTCCCCTAAGCTGTTCTCCTTGGATGTCTCCTACTGGGTCCAACATCAGCATCCACCTCTTGGTAGAGGGTTTGAAAGCTGGAAGCCCTAAAATATGAGTGCTGAAGGGGGTCACAAAATTTAAGAACATAGACACTTGTCTTCCAGCTAGTTAAGACAAGTGATTGTAGAGCAGGTACACTCTAATTTTATAGTCAAAATTCTTGGACAAGACTGTGAAAACCACAGAATTCCTTGCCTTCAGCATCTGGAATTACTCCCTCACTTTGGATGAGTTTGTGTATTTCTCCTCGTTTCTTCTGTTAGCCTATCCAGGGCTGGCACAAGGGTAAAATGCCCAGTCTGTGTTCTAGGGAAGACAATAATTTTATAATCTGCATACACAAAGCAAGCATCTGATGTACACTGTATATACAGAATTAACAAAATAGGGTAAGATATACAAAAAGGAGTATTTAGTTGGTTCCAAAGCAGGAACACTAAAGTGGGTAAAAACGGCCAAGCTTGGATTTACCCTTTCTACTATACCCACTTTTGAACGTAACATGCCCTGGAAAAAAAAAACCTGAAAAAAAAACCAAAATATAATCTGGATGACTTAAGGGGCTATGGCTATATCATATTGTGTGTTTCAAACGGTGGAGGTAAGTGTGGGTATATGAAATGTTTGGCTATTGGTTTGTGGGGTCTAGGCTCCAAAAGGATGTTTTAGATAAATGCAAAGTGAATTACCTTAAGTAAATAATTTCCATTTCATAGATGCTTAAAAGCTGGGACCCCTTTCTGGAATAGAGAACTAGTAAAAGGCTCCTTCTAGCAGCTTGTGTCTAAGCTATTCTGTAAGCAAGAACATCTAAACACATGGGGACCTTATGAACTGATATTCCCTGGATACTAGTTAACTACTGTCAAACCCTGTGAATGTCTCTGCCCAACTATGGCCCTTGAAGATTCATGTACCATTAACGGGGTCCTGCTGCTATATCACTAATTTAGTTATATGACCTCAGCCAAGTCACTTCCTCTCTATGGGCCTCAAAATTCTTTTATTTAAAATAAGAGGTTTGGGAGGGGAAGCAGGGAAGTGGGACAGAGAAAATGCATATCTGAATATGATATAAAATTTAATTTAAAAAATAAAATAAAATAAGAGGATTGGACTAATTGATCTCCAAGATCCCTTCCAGTTCTGACATTCTAAGTGGGTTTCTATAAGTTATCTCTACTTTAACAATGTTAAGAATAAGACTTTTCTTGTTGAAAATGGAGAAATTTTCCTCTCCAAGACTAGACTTGGCTATTATCCTTTCTTTCCACACCTCCCTCTATTTAGCAAAGTTCTCCTTTGGTCATTGTGGAATATATCCATGGATCTTTGGATCTCAGAAAATGGTTACTCCTCATCAATTTAAAAAAATAAATCAACCACCAGAGACTATCACAGCTCCCTTTCTTCCAGAGGGAGCTGCTAAACATATCCATCTCTTCTACATAGGGTCCTGCACAGGATATTAGACATAGGGTTACTCTAGGGACCTTAATGACTCTGAGCACAGCTGAAAGCTACTCTGAATTCTGCCCAGTTTTTCCAAGTATAATATAGCTTTCTACTCCCTTTTCCATCTTCTGATCTTCCCCATCCCTTAGAGGCTCTCAAAGACAGACCCATTGGGAATTTCTATATATCTTTGCCCCCACTACAGAGGCAGCAGAGGCACAGTTGGCACAGTGGTTTCAAAAGGGCCCAAGCTTTTCCATCCCCTTGGTTTTTCATTTTATCAGGGACCCATAGTGTCTAAGTACTAAGCCAACATCTTCTGTAGCACTCCCCGCAGGCCCATGCGGCACACCATTTCTGAACAAACACCATGGTCTCTTAGCTTTCTGTGTCAAAAAGTGGTTGAGCCTCTGCTGTAGGAAGGCATTCACCTGATTCCGCTGTCGGCCCATCAGCAGCACACATAGGACATAGAGCACCTCCAGTTTGTACATGATCTCGTGCATGATTTTCATTGACTGGGGCAGCTGGGTCCTTGAGGAAGTGTTTGCCACACCACTCTCATCTGAAGATTCTAAAGGAGGCAACATAATAAGCTCGGAAACCCATTTTAAAAGGGATTTATAAAGACCAAATCCTTTCAAGTCACATTTGCTTTGTATAGACTTCAGAGTAATAGATTTCCAAGCTTGGGTGTCTGGGCCAGCAGAGCTAAGACAGACTTATAAAAACACCAGAATGTTCACCAAATCCCCAGAAGCAAACTTGGAAATTCAGAATAAACAGAATTTGCCACTCCTTCTTAGATCACTTAGATTCACTAAGTTGTTTTTGAGCACAAAAATTTTCTGGCAGTGCTCCTAAACCCTCTTGGAAGGGACACGGCCAGATGTTTAAATTACTTTTCTAAACACCAGGCAGCTCTCACACCTGGACACCAAACAGCCTTCTTGGGAACCAGGTCTCAGGCTGGAATACTAGTTAGTCCAGGGTACCCTGTGAAGCCCAGGAAAAATCAAGGAGGAGAAGGGTAAAACAAGTATGAAAAGCAGAATAATATTGGGAGGGGGGAAGACCATCTCAGAAGACCTCAGTTTAAATCCTAATTCTGACAAAATACAACATCCATTTCTGTCAAAAACTAGAAAACAGAAATAAATAGACCTTTTCCTTTAAATGATAAACAGAACAATGAGTCCCCAAAGTCATAGTCTTTAAGCTTTAAGAACTAAGATGTGTGTGTGTGCGTGCGTGTGTGTGTGTCTGTGTCTGTGTGTATCTCAAGATTTACTACATAACAGAGATAAACTAGAATCCTAAATCAGGGTTGAAACAAAGGCATCCACTGTCACTACTTCTATTTGACATAATGCTAGAAATGCATGCTATAGCAACAAGACAAGAAAAAGAAACTGAGGGAATAAGTACAGATAAAGAAAAAGCAAAATTATTACTTTTATGCAATGATATGATAGTATACTTAAAGAACCCTAAGACTCAAAAATTAATTGAAATAATGAATAACTTCAGCAAACTTTCAAGACATAAAATAAATCCACGCAAATCATCAGCATTTCTATACAATACCAACAATACCTGGAAAGAAGAGATATAAAGTAAAATACCATTTAAAATTATTACAGAATGCAATAAAATACTTAGGCATCTAACAACCAAGATACACTTAAGAACTATATAAATACAACTACAAACCACTGTTTATAAAAATAAAGACAAACCTAAATTAACTGGAAAAACATTAATTGCTTGTGGGTAAGATAAGTCTACTGGGCAGCTAGGTGGTGCAGTGGAAAGAGTGCTAGGCCCGAAGTCAAGAAGACTCATCTTCCTGAGTTCAAATCTGGCCTCAGACACTTACTAGCCATGTGACCCCAAACAAGTCACTTAACATTGTTTGCCTTAGTTTCTCATCTGTAAAATGAGCTGGAAAAGGAAATAGCAAACCACTCTAGTATATTTTGCCAAGATAAACCCCAAACGGGGTCATGAAAGGTCAGATACAACTAAAATAACTGAACAACACAGATAAGTCAACAAAATAAAAATGATTAATACCACCTAAATTAATTGACTTATTCAACGTCATGCCAATCAAACTACCAAAGGATTATGTTATAGAAACAGAATAATAATGAAATTCATATGGAGGAAAAAAGGCCAAGAAATCTCAAGGGAAATAATCACAAGAAGTAGGAACAAAGGGAGCCTTGCAGTGCCAAATTTCAAACTATAAAGTATTAATTTTCAAAACAACTTAGGACTGGTTAAAAAATAGAGAAATTAATCAGTGGAACAGATTAGTTACACATCAGAGAGAAGCAAAAGTATCTAGTACTCAAGTATTCGATAAACACAAAGACTCCAGCTATTAGGACAAGGGCACCTAAAAAACTGCTGGAAAAATTGGACTACAGTATGGAAGAAATTAGATTTAGACCAATATTTCATACCTTATACCAATATAAGCTCTAAATGTATACGTAACCTAGATATAAAAGGTTACATCCTAAGCAAATTAGAGAAACATGGAAGAAAATTACTATCTCTTATCTATGGAGAGCAGAAAAGTTTGTGACCAAATAAGGGATATAGAGAATCACAGAAAATAAAACAGATAATTTTGATTACATAAAATTTAAAAGGTTTTGCACAAATCCGATAAAGTTAGTATTACAAGAAAATTAACTGGGAAAAAAATCTTTGCAGCAAGTTTCCCTGATAAAGGTCTCACTTCCAAGATATGCAAGGAATTGACTCATATTTATAAGATAAGTGCCATTCCCCAATTGATAAATGGTCTAAGGATATAAACAGGCAATTCTCAAGGGAAGAAACTTTGGCTATTTAAAATGATATGAAAAAAAATCTTCTAAATCACTATTAATTAGAGAAACTAAAATTAAAGCAAATTTGAGATTCTATATCACAGTTATCATATTGGCAAAGATGAGGAAACAGAAAAATGATAAATGTTGGAAAGGCTTTGGGAACATAAACACATTGATGTAATGCAGGTTAATCTGAAAATGGCTACAACCATTATGGAAAACAATTTGGAATTACACACAGAAAGTTACTAAACAGTACCTGCCCTTTACAGTGATACTACTGTTAGACTTACAGCCAAGAGAGATCAAAGAAAAAGGATAAGGTCCTATAATGTACAAAAATTCTTCTTTTTGTGAGGCAAAAAAAAAAGGAAACTAAAAGTGTGATAACTGTTATTTATATATTGTTTGATGTTAGAGTTATAATGACAGGACTCCAGTATGGAGTCACTTGGGCTAAGTGGTCCTACTGTCCATAAAGCATAAAAGCAAAGACAGAAAAGTTTGTACTTTTCCACTTTTCTGACCTTTGTTAACTCTGTGTCAAGTAGTTAATGCTCACAGTTTCTGTTTCATCTTCATCATTTTCTTTCACAGTTATTAATAGTTTCTATGATTTGTTTTTTGATCCACTCACTGTTTAAGATTTCATTAAGTCTTCATTTGGAACTGTATCTTTTATTTTTTTGGTCCCTAAATCAATTGCTATTTTTATTACACTATGGTCTGAAAAGGCTGTATTAACTATTCCTGCCTTTTTACATTTATTTGCAATATCTCTGTGTCCTAGTATATGGTCAATTTTTGTTAAACGATTCATATGGTGGTGAGAAATATGCATATTCTTTTGCAGTCCCATTGAAGAGACACCATAAGTCTTTTAACTCTAGTTTTCATCAGTGATTTGTTCATTTCCATATTTTCCTTTTGTTTATCTTTGTTAGACTTATTAAAAACAGAATACTGATGTCTCCTGTCACTATGATGTTAGAATCAACGTTATCTTGTAGCTCAGATGTTTCCTTTATGAATTTGAATTATAAGGCATTTAGAATGTCTATGTTTATTATTACTGACATTGGTTTGCTGTCTAAGGTTTCTTTCAGCATGATACAGTTTCCTTGCATATCTCTTTTTATGTTTTGAATGTTCGTTTTTGCTTTGTCAGAGGGCACAATGTAATTCCAACTTTTTTCAATTCATTTGATACATAGTAATTTTTCCAACCTCTCAGTTTTATTTTGTGTATATCTTTGTTTTTTAAATGTGTCTTTTGTAAGCAACAGATCATAGGGTTTTGTTTCCTTATCCAATGTCACTCTTGTTTTATTGCACTGTTTAATCCATTTACATTTACAGTTATGAAAGTTAGGTTTAACAAAGATTATACATGGTGACCGAGTGGGATTTATACCAGGAATGCAGGGATGGTTTAACATAAGGAAGACTATTAGCACAACTAATTATACCAATAACAAAAGTAACAAAAATCATATGATTTTGTCAGTAGATGTAGAAAAGGCTTTGACAAATATAATACTCATTCCTATTAAAAATACTCAAAAGCATAAGTATAAATGGATTTTTCCTTAAAATGATTAAGAAACATCTACCCAAAACTATCAGGAAGCATTATTTGTAATGGGGATAAGCTAGAAGCCTTCCCAGCAAGGTCAGGAGTGAAACAAGGATGCCCATTATCACCAATATCATTCAATATTGTATTAGAAATGCTAGCCATAGCAATAAGAGAAAAAAAAGAAACTGAAGAAGTCAGACTGGGCAATAATAATGAATAATAACAAACAAAACAATCTAATACAATATAAACATAATAAATATATAATTATTATAAATACAATATATTTAAAATAATAAATACAATAAACAAATATAAACAAAATATAAACAACAAAAATAATAAGTAAATAATAAAACTATCTCTTTGCAGATGATATGATGATATACTTGGAAAATCCTAGAGATTCAACTAAAAAGTTAGTTAAAATAATAATTTTAGCAAAGTAGCAAGATATAAAATAAACCCACATAAATCATCAGCATTTCTATATATCACCAACAAAACCCTGTAAGAAGAGATAATAAGAGATTCCTCATTTAAAACAACTGTAGACTGTATAAAATACCTGGGATTATAACTGCCAAGACAAACCCAGGAATTATATGAACATAATTATAAGATGTTTTTTATACTAGTGAGACTTAAATAAATGGAGAAATAACTGTTCATGGGTAGGCAGAGCCAATATAACAAAAATGACAATTCTACCTAATCTATTTATTCAATGTCATCCCAATTAAACTACCAAAAAATTATTTTATTTAGCTAGAAAAAAATAATAAAATTCATTTGAAAAAAAAACAAAAAACATCAAGAATATCAAAGGAACTAATGAAAAAAAATGTAAAGGAAGGAGGTTTAGCAGTACCAGATCTTAAACTATATTATAAGGCAGTAATTATTAAAACTATCTGGTACTGGCTAAGAAACAGAAAGGTATATCAATGCAACAGAGTAGACATACAATACACAGGAGCAAATGATTGTAGTAACCTTGAGTTTGACAAATGTAGGGATTTAAACTTTTAGGATAAGAATATACTATTTGGTAAAAATTGTTGGAAAAACTGGAAAGCAATCTGGCAGAAAATTGGTATAGATGAATATCTTATACCATTTACCAAGATAAGATCAAAATGGATG